GTGTGTGTGTGTGTGTGTGTGTGTGTGTGTGTGTGTGTGTGTGTGTGTGTGTGTTTGTCCACTGATGACGGGGGCGGACGGATCGAGACCGAGAAACGGACGACGACACTTTCCGATAAATCTCTCCGGCATGAATCAATCTCTCCGCCGTGTGTATGCGCAATCAAAATAAAATATGAATAATTTTTTCCCCGATCAAATATTTGAAGAGTGCCTCTCGCAGCCATGAGCGCCGTCGTGGTCGTGGTCGTCGTCGTCGGCGGCAGCCGTGGATGACGGAGGCGACGGGAGCTTACCAGCTCGCTGACCGATCACTGTTTATCCGCACGTGTACCTCGCGCATAACACGCAGAACCCGAAACGGAACTCAGCGCCCCGATCGATGTGATTTTTGAGCGCGAGCGAAATACCCGAAACGGACCGCAGCGCGCACGATCGATGTGATTTTCAATTGCGGGCAAATTGTGCGACGCCGTCTCGCGATCGAACCGGTGAAAGGAATCCTAGTTCGACGCATGCATGCAAGTTGCAAGTGACTCGAGAGAGACAACAAAGAGAGAGAGAGAGAGACGGAGAGAGACAGAGAGGGAGAGAGAGAGAGAGAGAGAGAGAGAGAGAGAGAGAGAGAGAACGGATAGGCGGGTGGAGAGAACGCGCAAGAGAGAGAGAACGAGAACGAGAGAGAGCGAGAGAGCGCGAGAGCACTTGTAATGACATCGAGCGTATCCGGATTTGCTCTCGCGTTCGCCACACTACGAAGCACGCGTTTTTCCTCTTTCTCGTGTGTCGGAGAAAATGTCCGTCTTTGCGTCGTTCAATTATTCATTACTGGTGCAATTATAGATGTCACCGTTATCGCTTGCGGTAAGCGCGCGCGATCGGTGTCAGTTTACGTCCTAACAACATGAAGCCATCAGCTGCCCGCCAGACGTGTTTAATTCTGGCGGGAGGGGAGATCAGGGAAGAGAAGGAGAGGTGAGGAGGAGGGGAGAGGTGGAGAGAGGAGGACGATTGGAGAGGAGGAGAGGGGAGGATGAGGGGAGGAAAGGAGGAGAGATGAGGGGGAGGGGGGAGGAGGAGATGGGAGGAGGAGAGGAGAGGAGGAGGAGAGAGGAGGG